ATAAATAAAATCTTTCAAAATTTTAGACGCTACAAATGGGTGAACTAATAGAAAAAAATAATAAAAGGTATCCCCTAGCAGGGAAAATGATGGGAAATTTTTATCTTGCCCTAAACTGCATGTCACAGAGGAGGAAGATCCAGGCCTAGGGAGGGAAAGGATTTGCTCAAGACACAAAACCAGTTATGGTCAGGGCCAGGTCAGGCCTCCAGATCTCCCACCTCTGTAGCCCCATGCTTTCATCTCCACCCAAGGCTGTAATCAGAGTTCCAGCTTTGTAGCCAGCTAGGCCAGGGGTAGGAGGTCAGGCACTCAGACTGTCGGGCACGTGAAGTCAGTGGAGAACGGGCAGCTGAGCCCAGTCCAGCCAAGGCCATCACCAAGGGTTCAGACTGATAATGTGTGCTTTAACTAGAAGGAAGTAGGCCACAGGGAAAGAATATCCAATAAGGGAGTGGGGATTCCAACCCCTCACCCTCTGCATCTCCCAAGAAGACAGCTTTGGCCAGTTTCCGAGCTCCTTGGTGATTATCAGGAAGAAAACAGAGAAACTGAGGCCTCGAGGCTTCGTGCCCCACTCTCATTTTTCCTGCTGCCCCAAATATCCATAATTAATATTTATGTCAGACCACATAATTAATTTACATGTCCAGCCACCTGGCTTCCTCAGGTGAATTCTATGCCTCCAGACAGGTTCCAGGACCATCTCTTAGCTGAGCTGCTCACAAGCGGGGGCTGCTGGGGCCTTGTTGAATGAACAAGTCAACCTTGGTCACACTGAGCCGGAGAGCAGAGGGCAGAACATTGAGTTTAGAACTGAGAACCCTGGGATATAGTCCTTGCGCTGCCATTCACTGGCTGTATGACCTTGAGCAGCTCCCTCTCCTTCTCTGGGCCTCTATTTCCTCATCTGTACCATGTAAGGATTGGGTCAGAGGATCACTAAGCACTTCTCTGGCTCTGAGAACCCATGAGTCTGGTGGATTCAGGAAGGGTGGCTGGGAGAATGAGGGGCGGTGACAGCCCGGGCCAGTACTCTGAGAGCGAGTGGCTAGAGTCTCATGGTCGAGGTGTGAGTTGTGGCTGGTCAGTCCATCAGGCCTGTGAGGGAAGGTCCTCGGGGAATCAGCCCCAGAGCACAGCTTCTGTGTGTGTCAGTGATACACAAGGACTGAGGGAGCCCCTCGCCCAAAGACTTGCAGAGCTGGACGGCAAGGAGGTGGGGACAACCTTCTGCCCCCTCTCTCGTAAACCCACGCCTGACGTGGGCAAGGACCCGGCAGGCGGCGGGCCTGCTGGCAGGCAGACAGGCCTTGCCAAACTCCCAGTTACTTCCCAGAAGTTCCAGGGCCCCCCGGGAGTGGCTCCACCCTAGCTGGCACTCCTCCCAGCTGGGAGCCCACGTCAGCAGGTCCTCACAGCTCCCTTGCCCTTTCACCCAGTGACAAGGGAACAGATGAGGGGACAAGGGCATGCCTACTCTGGGCCAGGTACTCGGAGAAGCATCTGGTTCCCTGGGCATGGCGCTCTTGCTGCCACTTGAGCCACATCTGGCTCCGGGCAGTGCCCAAGGATGAGGCTCCAAGTGGATGGCACTCCTCTCAGGGTCTCAGTTTCCCATCCTGCTCACCCTTCCTGGGTGATGAATCGGCTCTGAGGCATCGGAATGAGCGATGAGTCAGAAAGTCCTAGAGGCCTTGGCCAACTCACAAGGCCTCTCCAGCCTTTTTCAGCTATAAAACAGAGATAGTCATAATCATGGCCTTGTGGAAGTTTTTCGGGATTAAAGTCTAAAATGTATCTGAAGGATAAGACCTTAAGCTTCAGCCCATGGGAGGGAGGGAGGAAGGGTGGGCAGCAGGAGGCATCTGACCCCAAGGGTGAGGTTCATCCAGGCTGGGGCCACCCTGGACAGGACAGTGCATACAGCGGGGCATGAGGCTCTGGCTTGATAAAAGCCTTTGGGTAAGCCTGGTTGTGCCACTGCTTTGAACACCAGTAGAAGGCAGGCAGAGGAAGGAGTTGTTGCCTCTGGCTGGGAGCTGGGGAAAACACAAAGGCCCTCAGGACCTGAGCCAGCAGAGGCCAGGAGGGTGCAGACAGGCCCAGGGTAAGAAGGTGGCCTCACATCTGCTGGGACATGGGCTGTAGACCAGGGATGGCCTCTCTGCAGCTGGGGGCTTTGTGGGCAACCACAGTGCTGCCAGGCCAGCAGACACTGGGTTTTCTTAAATAATGATGGGTCCCAGAGAAGTCAGAGCCTCTGAATGAGCACAGGGCAAGGTGGTGGTGGTGGTGGTGAGAGGGGGGGTCCTTACCATTGACCCCACAGAGGTTGCCCTACCCCCAGACCACACTCTCAGGCAGCCTTTTCCCTGTGAGATCCCATCACCACTGCTTCATCACGAGCCCCACAGGTTCTGAAGTATTTGCACAACCAGTCTCTCCTTTACTCCTGACGGCAGCTGTGTTGGGCAACCAGGCTGGGTATTTTTTATTTTTTTTTAATTTAAATTCAATTGGCCAACATAAGTATAATGCCCAGTGTTCATCTTATCATGTGCCCTCCTTAATGCCTGTCACCCATTTACCCCATCCCCCCACCCAACAGGCTGGGTATTAACAGCTGCAGTTCAACCCCCCAGAGTGAAGACAAGGCAAAAGAGGTCCAGAAAGGGAATGGATTCACCCAAGGTCACACAGCCAGCATGTGGTCAAGCTGGGGCTGGGCCCGTGCTACCCAATCAATGTCCAGCCCCATCCACAGTGCCATGCCCTCCCCCACACCCAGGGCAGTGCTGGCCTGGGGGACAGGGAAGGACAGGATAAGATGTAGCTCTGGCTCAGGCCTGCCCAGCTGTCGAGGTGAGTTGTGGTCTGGCTTCCTTGGCCGAGCTGGCGGGCACAATCTGTTCTCACCCTGCTGGGACACAGACAGGCCAGGCAGTCATGGCAGCTCAACAGCTCAGCTATCCAGGCCCCTGGCACAGAGTGACACAGTCAACCAGCTAGGTGCCCTGGTGGGGGGCAGGGGAGTCCATTCTAAGGGCATCCCACAGCCTCACACACTCCAAGCAGCTGTCCCCAGATCTTCCAGAGCTTTAAGATTCAAATGGCCTTGGGCTGATAGAGATGCCAGCTTGACTGGAACTGAACTGCACCCCCACCCCCAGCCTAGAAATGTGAGGGAGATCTGGCACTTCATTCATTACTAATCATAGTGAGCCATTATTGAGCATTTGATATGTACCAGACTCTAGGCTAAGTGGGCTAAGTGCATTATACACATTATCTCATTTATTTCTCCCCAAAAGACCTGTGAGACAGGCTTTCTACTTACTAGCCCCATTTTACACATGTGGAAACTGAGGCTCACATGTTTTGTTTTTAAAAACGAAAATAAAGCAGTCCATGGCAGAGTCAGGATTCTAATTCAGAATAGACACCAAAGTACATGGTGCCCTACCTTGCCATCCACATGTTTTGGGCATACTCCACAGGTGTGGCTGGCAACGGGGAGGGGAAGCTTGACAGAAACATGACAAGGTGCTGCAGTGCCCACCCTTTCACCCCAAGCCAGTGGTTAGCTGTACATATGTGGTTGGGGGACCTAGGGGACAGAGCAGGGATGGTGGTAATACTGTCCCTGGAGTTCAAAAGCTGAACATTCTCAGTGCCACTCAAAGCAGAGAAGATCATTTCCAGTGGGGAATCCTGGACAGCTGCATGGAAAAAGAAGCTTTTGGTTACATTTTGATAAGACTTAGGAGGAAATTGGAAATCCTGCCAACCAGCATTATTTTATTATAATAATCCTACTAATAAAAGTAATAAATATCTTAACAGCCCAGTGAAAAAAGCAAGACCAGGACCAGCAGACCTCATTTTACAAATGAGGAAACATGCTCTGAGAGGGGGGGAGTAATTTGCCCAAGGTCACACAGCCCCTAGTGACAGGACCAGAATGCTTAGGGCTTCTGAGTTCCTATCCAGGGTCTTTTCCCCTCCAGGTCTCCAGGCACAACTCCTGACCTAAGGCCATTTCATGGCTGGTTCAGAGGGAAGCTTTGCCTCTGCCCAGCTCCCTGCTTAGTGAAGGCTGGGGGCAGTGTGGAGGAGACAGGGCTTGGTTTTGTCTGGCTGGTGATAGAAACACCTGGAAGGACAGGCAAAGTCTCTGCTTTACCAGGGGCAAAGCCACCTCTCCATGAGGACAGACTCTACTTCAGGACCAGGCACAGAAGATGACCTCAGGGCTCCAGACTGGGGCCAGTGAAGACCCTGGAGCACCATTCATCCAGCTGGCAGAGAGGCAATGTCTCCTTTCTCCCCTGACACTAGTAGGCCAGCTGCCTCAGGGAGACTGGAGGGCCCCAGTTGCCAACTACCCTCATAAGCTTTGGCTGGCAGCAGGGGAGTCATCAAGGAGCCATCCATGCATGCTTCAGTGTCCTTCCCTCCACAGTGAATCATGGGATGTCCACCCCCCACCCCTTACAGCAAGGCAACTGAGGTCCAGAGAGGACAAGGAACAGGTCCAAAGCCCCAGACACCGAACTAGAACCCAGGTCTCCCAGATGACCTGCCAGTACCCTTCACACTATCTCTGCTACCTCTGGACGAAGTTCCCACGGCATTATGAGTCAGCTTCTTCTCTAGATTTAGCAAAGTTAGGTCTTTGTAGCCAAACAGACTCCAGTTCACACGCAGGTGAGGCTGGTCTACTTCCAAACGGTGGGACCTTGGAAAAATCGCTTGACCCTCCCAGTTTCCTCCTTTCCTTCCCACCTACCCTATGCAGTCGACCAAGAGCATCAACAAGGAACTGGCTCGGTGTGGGGGGTCAAGGATGCACCCGTTAGTGTCGGCTGGAAGGAGAGGCCCGAATCTGCCAAGCTGGGGGAGGTGGAGGGCAGAGATCTCGGGGGAAGGGGGCAGGGTTTCTGGAAGAGCGGCCCCACAGTGCGTGCTTTCTCTCCTCTTCCCCCGCCTTCCCCCAGGCTATGGCCACGCAGCGCCCAGCACCGACGGCGGCAAGGTGTTCTGCATGTTCTACGCGCTTCTGGGCATCCCGCTCACGCTCGTCATGTTCCAGAGCCTGGGCGAGCGCATCAACACCTTCGTGAAGTACTTGCTGCACCGCGCCAAGAGGGGGCTGGGCATGCGGCGCGCCGACGTGTCCATGGCCAACATGGTGCTCATCGGCTTCTTCTCGTGCATCAGCACGCTGTGCATCGGCGCCGCCGCCTTCTCCTACTACGAGCACTGGACCTTCTTCCAGGCCTACTACTACTGCTTCATCACGCTCACCACCATCGGCTTCGGCGACTACGTGGCGCTGCAGAAGGACCAGGCGCTGCAGACGCAGCCGCAGTACGTGGCCTTCAGCTTCGTGTACATCCTCACGGGCCTCACGGTCATCGGCGCCTTCCTCAACCTCGTGGTGCTGCGCTTCATGACCATGAACGCCGAGGACGAGAAGCGCGACGCCGAGCACCGCGCGCTGCTCACGCGCAACGGGCAGGCGGGCGGGGGCGGCGCGGGCGCGGGCGCGGGCGGGGGCGGCGGCGGCGGCGGGGGCGCGGGTGGCAGCGCGCACACCACGGACTCCGCCTCGTCCACGGCGGCGGCGGGCGGCGGCGGCTTCCGCAACGTGTACGCCGAGGTGCTGCACTTCCAGTCCATGTGCTCGTGCCTCTGGTACAAGAGCCGCGAGAAGCTGCAGTACTCCATCCCCATGATCATCCCGCGGGACCTCTCCACGTCCGACACGTGCGTCGAGCAGAGCCACTCGTCGCCGGGAGGGGGCGGCCGCTACAGCGACACGCCCTCGCACCGCTGCCTGTGCAGCGGGGCGCAGCGCTCGGCCATCAGCTCCGTGTCCACGGGCCTGCACAGCCTGTCCACCTTCCGCGGCCTCATGAAGCGCAGGAGCTCCGTGTGAACGCCCTGCGGGGCCTGGAGCGCCTGGGGGTGCAGGCGGGGCAGGGGAGGGGGCGCTCCTGCCAGAGGAGCCCCAGGGGTCCTGGAGGAGGCCCCTGGGGCTCCCCCCACGCCCCTCCTCACCCCTCCCCTGACCCCCCCATCTCCAACTGTGCCTGCTCGTGCACCAGCCGGCAGGAGCCCGGGCTCTGAGGATGTCTCAGGACATCCGTGCCCTGCAAATTCCGAGAAATGTGAAATTCGGGGGGTGGGGGTGGGGGAGGGAAGGCAGAAGCTGGGAGCCTCCCGTCCCTCTGGAAATCGAAGGAGCTCCCCAGTTCTCAGAGGCCCTGCTGGTACCCAGACCACCCCCACCCTCCTCCTCCATCCGGAGGGAACTTCGTGTTCCGTGTAAGTTTGCATCTCTATTTATACCTCTGTCCTGCCAGGTCTCCCACCTTCCCGAGGCTCCAAAAGCCAAGGTGTCTTTGTTCAGGTCACCCCCACTCAGCCCCACTCCCCTTCCCCATCCCCAGCTGTGTCTCCCAACCTCCCACTACCTTTTGTGTTGTTTTGCATGGCTTCGCAGTTATGGAGAAAGTGGAAAGCCAGCAGTCCCTAGAGCTAGTCCCCAGAAGGCAGGCCGACTGAAACAAGGACAGGCAGGCTGCAGGAGGGACAGGGAAGCGAGGGGGAGGTAGTGGCCCTCCAGGCTGCAGGGTGGTCTAGTGGTAGGTGAGAGTTTACTGGCCTCCAGCCCACATAGGGGTGAGAGAAGTCCAGCCTCAGACACTGCCCTTAGAATTGAACAGAAAACTTCATACTTGCCATCCCCGGCCACTGCTGACAACAACCAACTCTTAAATCTGTGGAATGAGTTTAGCCTCTGAAAACCCTGTCCTGACTATTCATTCGCTTGATTCTCACAATGCCCCGGTTAGGTCACCAGGGCAGGAGTTCTCAGCCCCATTTTACAGATGACACTGACTCCCAGACAGGGGAAGTGAGTTGCCCGAGGTGACGCAGATAGCAAAAGGCACAGGGGAACAAGAACCCAGGCTGCTTGTTCTAAGCCTCAGCGCCCTTTCCTTCTGACTCCTCTGCCCACTGTTGAAAGCAGAGCTCCTGCCCTGCACACCCAGGCACTGTGTGAGCCATGGGGGCTTAAACCAGAGGCAGACCCCAGGACTGAGCCATTGTTGGGGCTCAGCATCTACGCCACTTGGCAGGGAGCCAGGGGCTCTGGATGGGACCCTGAGGTGGGCAGGGCCCCTCAGTCTCTGGACTGCCTGCTCACAAACAAGGAAGCAGGGCTGAGGCTCATGGAAGAAAGCCAGGCTCCTGGCTGGGGCTCTAGGGGGTTGGGAATTGGGTAGAATGAGCTAGAGAACTGTCAAGCATATCCTACTGGGACATTATGCCTGGCTCTACAGCCAGTGATGGTGCCTGGGTCCCAGGTAGCTGGAGATAAATTAAGGCTGCAGCAAGGGACGCCCCTCCCAGGTAGGGAGTTTGGACCTGATGTGCCCACTGCCGACCCCACCTGCAACCAGAAACCCTGACACAGAGCAGAGATGGAGGTGAGACCCTAGACTCCACTGTTGGGATCCACAGCTGGAGCTGGAACTGTCTCAGGGCAGCATCGAGGGGCGGGTGAGGGGCCTTCCCCCACTCAAGACTGCCCTCCTGTGTTGTGCCCATGTCAGCGCCCTACCACTGCTGAGCAAGGCCAGTCCTGGTATTCAGAGAAGCTGGGGTGGGGGACCCAGAGGGTGCTCAGCCTCGGCTGCACCCCAGCTGCGTGCTCCAGCCTCTGGGAACCCCTGAAAGACAAGACGTCTGGCCTGTGTGTCAGTCCTGTCTCGGTGTGGAGGAGCTGGCTGCCCAGGTGCCAAGGAGAAGAGGGCCCGGGACCCAGGGGTGCCCTCTGTGTTTATGTGTGGGGCTGGGGGGCAGTGCTGGCTGCCTCTGTCCTGTGTGTGACCCTGCCCTCGAGGGGTCCTGTCCCGTCAGTCCCGAGGGAGCCACAACCAAAGTTGCAGGGAGATGGTGAGGAAGGAGGCCAAACAGTCCTCAGCAGAGCATGGCAGACTGCTCGGTCTCCAGCTGGGTCTTTCCCAGGGAGCTGGAAGGCCGATGTTGCTTCCCCCCCCTCACGCCCTCCCACTGCAGGCAGCCTTTCTGCTTCCCCAATGCCTTATGCCTGGGCACACTGCCACAGAATATGCAATACATGTGGGTGACATGCCCCCACGCCCACGCCCCACCCCGGGCAGCCCCTGGACCCCAAAGGCTATGGCTGCCACGGCCTCCCTTCCTCCCCTCCTGCCTATCTGTCTTCACACTGAGAATGGCGTCTAATAAATGCTGTCCATGGAGACCAGGCTCAGGCTCAGCTGCCTCTGTATCGTATACCCTTGGCACTGCCAGGGAGCGGCCATCCCCCTGCCACCACCAAGGTCTATGGACACACCTAGCTGATCGGCCTCAGGCTGACCAAACCCCTTGCTTCAGGAGTGATAGGAAGCAATCTGGGAGCAACACTCGCATCCCTTTTGTAATTTCCTCCAAGACCCAGATTTTCTCAGTGCCATCCTGGAACAACTACAGGAGCAAGATAAGACCTTAGAAGAGAAATCACCTGGTCCAGTCCTCCCCTCATATGTGAGTACATAGAAATCCAGAGGGGGCAAGTCACATTCCCTAAGTCACACAGCAGTGAGTGGCAGACCCAGGATTAGAACTAGAACTGAAAATTCCAAATCTAGCATTCCGCCTCCTCGTGCAGCCTGCAAGAGTCTGACTGGACACACCCCAGCTGACAATGACACCTCCTTGTCTGCCAGAATGGGGATTCCCTTCTCTACCAGTGGGGACTCCCAGGCATCAGTGGTCTGATTGACACAAAAATGTCTTTTTCAAAGGAAGACACATCACAAGCCTCTGTCTTCAGGATATATTTCTCTCTGGGTGTGGAGGGACAACTCCGTTGAAACTGGGGCCCCAGTCCCCAGGACAGACCCAGGGAGCAGATGCACCCTCCCAGCTGGTGCCAGAGGCTCCCAGATGTCACTGAGTACAACCTATAGTAACACCTTATCCACCACAACCCCATTTCGATCTATCCGCATGCCTTTCTGCCTATCTATCTTTCATGAAATAACACTTAACCCCCACTATCACCACCAAAGCATTCTAATATTTTCTATCCTAGTTCATGTTATAAAATGCTGATCACAACCCACTAAATTGATTTCTCTGGTTTGCTCCCCACAGATTGAAATGCTCCAGGGAAATAGGGAGCTGGGGGGTTGGTAGGGGCAACTTCTCCAAGGCCCCCCATCTACACACTTGGATTACTTGAAATATACAGGGAGAGATCTATTTATTGGGGGTTCAGAGTTCAAAGAAAGACCCCTCTCCCAGGAGGCAGGACCCAGCCGTCTCCATGTGACTGTGCTCCTGGCTGCTCCCTGCCCCTGCAGGCAGCCTCCTGGGACGTGCTCCTTGCTGGCCCACAGCTCTGAGGGTGGCCATGGCAGGCCGGGACGTTCATTCCCAATTGGCTCATCCATACCTAAGACCACCTCGTCACAAGCCAGGGCTTCCTGCCCATGGCCCGGCTCTCTCTGTCTTCTTAGCAAAGCTAAATGCAGCAATAGAAATGACGTCATTTCTGAGGTCAGCAGTGACCAGTGCAAGGTTGTTTTTACTTTCTTAAGCAGCTCTTGTATGACATACACATCTGACACCTGCCCTCCTTTATTCCTCACTGGGGGCAAAATAATCAGAACTGGAAGGAATCCCCAAGGGGCTACATTCACCCCAGTGTCCCGAGCGGTGATCAGAATGATGGCGGTGATGAACTGCACCCCAGCCCCTGACCCCAGCTCCTAAGGACTCAGAACTATCTGGAGAACTACTGCGGGCTCTTTATCTCCACAGGATGCCATCTCCACCCTCCTTGCTTCCACACAGCATCTGAGGCATCCTGCACTAAAAAATATATGTACAGCAAAACAAAAATAGAAAACCAGCACCGCAGAGTGGATGTGGGGTATAAATATACCAAGATCCCCGCTGATGTGGTTACTCTGTGTAAGCTTCAGATAGAGGCAGAATCTTCCTGGGAGCCCAGAGAGAAAGAGGCGTGCAATGACAACTCTTCCCAAAATGTGTCCTGTGGTATGCCTTGTGGGAAAAGAGTTCCACAGGCAAATGATTCTAAGGAAACACTGAGCGCTTCACTCGCTCTTGGAGCTTCCTGAGCTATCTGGGCTTAGTAAAGGTTGGGAAAAGCCCTGCAGCCAACAGAGCTGTTTACTGTACATAACCCAGCTCTGCCCAAACTCTCTCGTAGCCCCAGACCCTCTGCATGTCATCTCCGTACACCGGGTGTTCCATGGAGCACGCTTTGGGACATGCCGATCTAGTAAAATCTCTGCCTCATAGAGCGGCTGGTCCTGCCCCCTCAAGAAATTCTAAAAGGAATTTAGCTTATAAGTCTTTCTATAACTGAGGACCATGACCTTTGCAAAATACGTATGTTATTCTCAATCATGGGTCCACTCAAACCAAGGCCTGGAGCAGCTCACTTGCCAAGATCAAGCTGTGGATCAGTGGCAGAGCTGGGATCTGAGCCCAGGCCCAATGGCCCCCCAGCATGTGCTCTCACCCACCCCGCTGTGTTCTTTCACCAGCGTGGTCCATGGTTTCAGGGAAGGTTCGGCAGAAGTCACAGAGCTGCTCAGAACGTGTCGTTTCTAATTCAGAATCTTGGTGAGAGGGAATACTATAAACCTAAAAAATGTCACCCTCCACAGATGGCGGATTCTGATGGAGCTAAGAAATCCTGTCTACCTGAGATCCTCCCAACTCCCACTCAAGACCATTTAGCTCTTTTTACAGGCTCAGTATTGCCCCCCGCCAAGCCCACCAGTAACCCCACAACTCATCTCAGAAAGCCAGGGTCAAGGGAAGACTTCTGTAGGACAGGCATATTGCCGGAGGAAAGAGCAACTGCTCATGTTGGCTACACCAGCCTTTCCACTCAGAACACATCTGGCCATCTCCACTGAGAAGCATAAAGTGGGAGCCCCTTCGGACTCCCAGAGCTGGGTTCAGGTTTGAAGGTTGAGAGACTCCATTTCTCAAGGGACCCCCCCAAAGAAGAGGTCTACCGTGGACACAGTCCCTTCGTCTTGTCCAGGTGGCAATAATGTTGGAACAACAGCCTTGGGGACTGCCACCACCTTTGGAAGATTGCAAAGAAGTACACACACACACACACACACACTCTCTCTCTCTCTCTCTCTCTCTCTCTCTCTCTCTCCCCTGGATCCTTGGCCCAGCTCCTTTTCAGAGGAAGAAATTTTGACTCACAGAGAGGAAGTGAGATGCTCAAGGTCGTAAAACAAGATAATGACGTAGCCAGGATTAGTACCCAAATAGGCTCACTTTCCACTCCTCTACACACACGCACACACACACACACACACAGAGTAGGGGCCCAGATGAAAGCTGCTAATCTCTGAGGTTGAGTCATTCTGATGCTGGAAATTTCCCACATGCACATCTGGACAAATACCAGGAGACCCTTGCTCCTCAGGCTTCCGGCATCAGGAGAGGGTTTGTGTGTGGTGCCACCCCCTTAGGCCAGTGGCTATGATAGAATTGGTGTCAGTGATCTCTGGCCATGAACTCCCCACATTATGGTATTTTCCATTTACAAAGCTCTCTCACTTTATCTCATCCGCTTATTGGAAAACTCTGTGATTTAGGTAAGGATTAACATCCCCATTTTACAGATGTCAGAACTAAAGCTCAGAAAGACCCAAGGTCCTGAAAGCCAGGACAGTTTGACAGTGAGGGCACCAATGTATATCTGAGAGCCACGCCCACCACTGGGACACGTCCTTGGCCACCGATGTGCTGGACCAGGGCTGCTGCTCAGTCCCAACAGAGTGTCCCGCATAGCTTACCATGCTGTGCCCATGGGGAGGGACCCCCCCAGGTGGACGTGGTTCACAGAACCCATTAACAGGACACGGGGCTGTCATGAACACTTTATCCACTTCACCATGTGTCCTGGGCAACCTCTGCCCGGAGCCCTAGACTTGGGACCAAGAGAAGCAGAATGTCCAGCCCACAACCCCTGTCCTTCAGATGAAAGGGCCAAAGATTCCTGGGGGAAAGGTCGTGCTTTGACCCAGGCCAAATTCCCAAAACAACACTCTTCCAACAGTTCTTGTTTCCTAAAGAGGGAACATGTGACCAGGTCATCCCCAGTCACAGAATATTCTGGTCTGACCACTGGATCAGAGTGGCAGGATGAAGGCCCACATCCCTGGGAGCCATCATCAGGGTTGGAAAGGCACTATCCTTCCAGAGTGCCCAGGTCCCACTGGGGAGACCACAGGTGCTTCTGGGACAGGAAGCCTGGCCTGGGCTTTGTTGGGCTCTATCCTCATCTTTGTAGTAAAAACTCTCTTTCTGCCTCATCCAGGGTAGAAAAGGCTCAAAGGACACTTTTGGCTACTGAGGGTACTGAACAGCTGGTGTCCTTGCCAGCTTCTTTCAAAGGTAAAGGAGACACCAGAGAATTAACAGTCCATTCATTCTTGAGCATCTACTATGTACCATAGACTTTACAGATCCTACAACCACTGTGTGAGGCAGGGTAGTATGGTAGATGAGAAAGATGAGACTCAGAGAGGGTAAGTGATTCACCCAAGGTCACAGAGCTAGTAAGTGGCAAAGCCCATCCAGGACCCTCTGACTCTTAAGCTCAAGCCCTTTCTCCTGCACCTCCATGCCTGGGAGACATGTAATCAAGCCTCCTTCCCAAAGCAAGAATCACCTCAATGTCTTCCCAGCAGGTCATACAGCCTCCATTTACAGGACCCTCACCCTATGAGGCAGCTCTGTCATTCATTGAGCAACAGCTCTAATGACCATGAATGCCTTCCTTCTACGGAGATAAGAACTGCTTCCAGGTCTGGCTGTGCTCTCTAGAACCACATGATGTAGTTTTCTCTGTTGTGGGCATTTCACTAAAGGATTCAGGATGGCTCCCCACATGGAAAGGTACCTCCCAGTCTTCTCCAGGTTAAACATCCTATTCTTTCATCCATACTTCCCATGACAGTGCAGTTAGATCCCCCACCCTATCCATCCAACTCCCTGCTCTGTAAGAGCTTCAGCTTACTCCTCCCCTTGGGCCTTGGCACACCATATGTGGTCCAGCCACCACAGAGACACTATGACCATTCCCTCCCTCGCTCTGGATGCTACTCTCTTATTAATACAGCCTAAGAGTGCATCTGACTTACAGGCTCATGCAGAGCTTGCAGCCCACCACA